GCAGCCACATTTTCATTAGGACTGAAAACCATGAAAACAGAGGCCACAAGGATTTACAAAGGCAGCTAGAATGGGATCTGATGACCAAACATTCCCCTGTTTACACCAGTCTGGTTCCAAATTCCACAGAATAATAAGACCCTTTTGCTGAGGCTGGAAACTCGCAGCTCCAGCATCCCTGATCGATGGTCGGCCGACTTCATGTTTAGAAGCGTCCAGTGGAGGGGATTCTTCTACCACCTTCTGAGGTAGACCATTCCATTGCTGAACAGCTGTCCCTGCCAGGAAGTTTTTCCTAATCTCTTCCTTGTAATTTGAATCCAATTACTCTCCGGAGCTGCAGAAAGCACATATGTTTTCATTCTTCCGCATGTCAACCCATCAAAGAGTTAAAGACAGCTGTCATATCCCCTCTCAATCCTCATCAGCCTCGAGGCTGGATAGATCCAGTTCCTTCAACGATTCCCCATAAAACATGGTCTCCAAACCCTCTACCATTTTGATTCCCCTTCGCTGAATATGCCACAGTTTGTCAATATTGTTCTTAAACTGCGTTGCCCAGAACTGGACACAATACTTTGCGTGAAATCAAACAAAACAGAACAGTGTGGCACCAGGACTTCCCTTGGTCTGGACGGATGGTATACTGTATTTGTGTTGATTCATCCTGGAATTGTGTTAGCCCTTCTTGCTGCTGCATTACGCTCTTGACTCATTGGTTTGTGGTCTGCTAAGACTTCCAGAGCCTTTCCATATATAACGCTGCCAAACCACATGACACCCTTCCTATATTTGTGAATTGTGATTTTTTTTCCTTTCCTTCATATTACCCCCTTGCCTTGAAACTCCAGATTACATTTCTTAAAAACAAAACTACTCACTTATGTTCCTCAAGGGGAAAATCCCCAATCCTGAGGAGGCTGAACCTTCACAGTCCAGAGGCGTGATTCAGACACCTTACCTGACCAGGAAGCTTTTTAGAACCGAGGGTTTGGTCACCATGAGAAAAAGATTTGCCCCGAAAGCTTCAAGACCCACACAGAATTCACGCAGAAGCTTCTCCCACCTTTGTTAGGTAAGCAATTCTGTTTGATTCCCTCTTGCCATTCCGTCAGTTTCCACAGAACATTCTTTCCATAGATTGAAAGAAGGTCCTATGCAAATTAACGGAAGCGGAAAGAAGTTGGAAAGTTCTTTATGAAAATTAAGGTGATTTATCCAAGCCCTGCCTGCCCAACCCAAAATTAGTTAAATGCCATCGTAGTATACAATTTATAATTACTATATACTAAAAAGGGTTAAGTTTTAAGGCATGCCAACCGTTATAGTTAAAATTTATAATTTAAAATTTACAGTTACAAAATATCCTTTGTTACAATTAGAATAGGAAGTAATTATTTTTGTTAGAGGAGGTGTGCCAATACTACATATCCAGTGGTCTCATTTAAGGGGTAGTGGGGTCATTTTATCATTAATGTAAAACTGTTGTTAAAGGGAACCCCTTCTCGGTCTGTGCTGACATCCAGCATTGAATTATGATTAGAATTTTGGGCATGAAACTCAGGGTGCAGTTGGGGGATGATTTATCTTGGACTTTCGACCACTTTTTGCACTGTCAGGATGGATCTAGGTAAAGGCAAAGGTTCCCCTTGACATTTTTAGTCCAGTTGTCCCGGCAAATCAAGGAAATCAACCCTGAGTGCTCACTGGAAGGACAGATCCTGAAGCTGAGGCTCCAATACTTTGGCCATCTCATGAGAAGAGAAGACTCCCTGGAAAAGCTCGTGCTGTTGGGAAAGAGTGAAGGAAAGAGGAGAAGGGGATAACAGAGGACGAGATGGATGGACAGTATCATCAAAGCGACCAACATGAATCTGACCCAACTCCGGGAGGCAGTGGAAGATAGGAGGGCCTGGCGTGCTCTGGTCCATGGGGTCACGAAGAGTCGGACACGACTTAGAACAACTAAACAACAACCATTCCTGGTAACTACACAACATACAGGCCATTGCAAACCATCAATTTCTCCAGGGGGTTCCGGAGTTTTAAGCACAGCTACGATAGTTTGTCTGTTTGCTTTCTGTCTCCAGCATGTGTGACTGCCGGTATCAAAATCAAAGCAGTACTAGTGGGGGAGTTCATGTCACTCGGGTGACAAGCCAATGCAGTGATATGGCTCTTCTTAAACAACAACAACAACAACAACAACAACAACAACAACAACAACTTCTTCTTCTTCTTCTTCTTCATCA